CGTATTCGTGTAAGGACACACTCACACACACACACACACATATCTGTGGGCTGCTGTCCGTTCAGTACAATTATTTCCTGCATTGTTGAAGGATTGTTCGCAGAAATTTTCTTTTTACACAATTGTGGAAAGGCACAAAGTGTTGTCAGGGGATTTTCGAAAACTCCCAGGCACACAATGAGCACCGGAGTGGCCAGAGAGAGAGAGAGAGAGAGCGGGAGAGAAGCAGAACGGAAATGGCAACAATGCTCCTCGGGTTCTGCTCTGTTCTGTTCTGTTCGGTTTCTGTTCAGTTCTGTGTTGAGGTCTGGTTCTGTCCGCATTGTAAACAATTGAACATGGATGGGGTTGAGTCTGCAGGATTACGCACCAGTTTACAAGATGCGCCTGGACCACTTAATGATTTCCACTTATGCATCGCAGACATCATCATCACAAGTGTGGGGCTGCTGCTGCTGCTGACCAAAGTGCATTCAAGGCTTACATCAAGTATCGGTGCTGTCCTCCGACTCCTCTTCTGTTTCTGTTTCCCCACAGTTTTTGCTAATCTATATGTAAATTTTTTGCATAACACAGTGGGCACACAGTGCCCAAAATCGAAGTGGCAAATGCCCTGAAAGATCTCTGTCGGCCACTCCCACGTCCATGACGTCATGCAAAGTGTTTGACAAATGGCTTAAAAGGGCACAAATCGAGGCTAAGACAAAAAAGGATAGCTGACAGGACAGTAGACAGTAGTGCGGGGTAGAAAGCTGACAACATACTAAAAACGTTGACAAAGTGTGTGTGTGTGTGTTGTGTGTTTTGTGTGTTGGCAAGTGTCAGGCCCAGGCACGCACATCCTTTGCATATGTGTCGAGCGAGCAATGTGGGTAAGTGCGCGTGAAAGATAAATAATCATGTGATATCATCAGCACGAGTCGGGAGTGGGGGCGACGGGCGTCTGCAAAGAATGCCAAAAATTAATTTCATACATTTTAAAATTTCAATTTATTTTGCTTTGCACGAACGCGCAGCGTCTTCAGGCAGACAATGCCTCTGCCCCACCCCGCCGCCGACCCAACCAAACCAAACAAATCCCAACCCATCCCAAAGTACAGCTGCTGCCCTCGCCCCTCGCCCACGCCATGTGTGTATTGTCGTGTCCTCCTTTGGCTTTTGTTTTTCTTCTGCTCGTCCTTTTTTCACACTTGTCACTTGCATTTTTGACATTTCTGTTAGTCAAATGGGCAGCAGCTGGATGGAGGGAGGATAGGCGAGGACGAAAGGAAGCAAGAAGAGTGATGACTGAGCGAAGAAAATGGTGCAGGGGATGTAGCGAGATGCTTCTGCCCCGGGGCGGAATATGTCAGGTCCTTAATTAATTATGTGTATGCACCAGCCATTGCAATGACAGTGACTCTAAAGTGCAACTCACACAAATCACATTAGCTTTAAAGACGGGAAAACTACGTTGTGATGATTGGGAAAACTACCATATGATTTTAGCTACAGTTAATGTAAAAACGGATTTTATTGGATGATGGATGAGTATGGTTAGGTCATATCTTAGCAGGCAGGACATGTATTTAATATATATATTATATTTACACCTTTGCTGTCACTCGTCTTAGTTTAAATAATGTACTTCCAGAGTTTGAGTCTGTGCAGGACTGTCATGACTGTTTGCGCATGGAAGTCAAAAATTATATGTAACGAAGAAATTTAATGAAGAAAATGAGCGCATAATATGTTTAAAGTGCTAAGCGTTTCATTCCCAAGCATTCCACTCGATATAACTTCTTCTATTATATCATTACCCATTACCAATCAATATTAACTCAACAGATACCAGCATTTCCGATAAAAATATAGACAAACCCTTCCCATTTCCGCAAAAAAAAATACATCCCTACAGTGTTACCCACTGAAGGTAAAACTTTTTATAGCTTTTTGATTAGTTTCTGACCCAACAGCATGTTTTGCCAAAACCCACTGGGACTCAAAGCCCAGAGACGTACACCAGAGAAGTCAATTTAAATTAAAAGAAACACGCGGAGCTGCATATTGAAATGTCCTGGACGGCTCCCTCGACTGGGATTGAAGAGCTGCGTGAGAAGGACGGACTATGGGGAGATGGACGACACCTAACAAAAGTTAAATTGCAGGTATTTAAGCATTTTATACAAAATTCATCATCATCTGGCACTGGGAGTTAATCAGGGGAAACAACAACAGGGAGAGGGTGTCACGTTCCCGTTCCCCGACTGGCTGGAGCACTTTCGTGTGCATTATTTAGCACCGTGGAAAAGTTCATAACTGCGCTACGCTCGTGAATTGTAATTTTTCTTTCAGCGCTTTCATTACTCCATCACATCGCGAGGAAAAGGAAAAGCTAGCGAAAGAGGAAAAGTTTCTCCCTGCATCGGTCTGCGAGTCATTTATTATGCCATGAAATTTGAGCTAAAGCAACGGGTTCGGGCTACGATGGAGTGGAGAGGAGAGCAGGAGTCCTTCCATCTACTTCGTACTTCACTTTTATTATTTTCAAGTTAATGTTCATTTATGGTGGTTACACCTCGACTTTTCGCTGCTTTTGTTTAATTAGACGGTGTGGATTTTATTCGAAGGGAGTGGGAATGGTTGCAGCTCGAAACGGAAGACTCCACCAGCTTTTAGCATTAGGAAGCCAAGTTGTTTGTGTTTAATTGCGGAAAATGGCAGAGTAAATTCGCTTAAGAAATCAAGCTAGCTAAAGCGAGGAGGTACTATGAGTCGAAAGGTGGATTTGTCAGAGGCTTCTGGGGTTGGGCTGTCTAGGGTTTGTGTATGAAACGTGGAGTGGCGCATATGGACATCATTCCACCATGTGTAGGTTTGTTTTATCCGGCACAGCTTGATTAAGAATATCGCCAAGAATATGAAAATGAGTCGTAATAATAATACACTTAATTAATTTTGTGTATTTTGTTATTGGATCCTTGGCACCGACAGCTATTTAAACAGTCCCTATTAGATTCTTACGATTAACTCTATTTTCTCCACATAGTTCTCTATAAACTTAAGTATTTATAAATATCTTCTTAAATTTAGATTTATAAAGACTTTCCACCTCATTTTTCGACAGGGAGACCCACAGAAATCATGGCATTTATATTGTTGTAACTTGTAACGCAGCACGCACGCAGCCCTCCCAGTTGGGTAAATCGATATACAACGACCTTGGCTAAAGCTCTGGCCTGCACATAAAGAGCACGTGCTGTCAACTGTGTCAAGTTCCACCCGCACACTCCCAAGGAGGAGACGGAGAGACCCTCTCGATTCTGATGCTCCCTAAACGAATTCCATTGTCAAGGTCGCACGCACAAAAAGCTACCACCACCCGATGGCACAAGCATAGAGGGAATGCCGGCCGGCATGGCCTTGAAACGAAGTAAGGAAAATGGGAAAAGCTTTCCCTGGTAGGAGCATACCCACACACACACACAAATGGCAGCCACACGGCCTTGGCAATGGCCTTGTAACCGACGATGCCCCTAGCAACAAGGAAGCAAAATGTGGGGGAGAAAAATAAGCTCGATTGGCATTTTGGTTCTGCTCCCTCGGAATCTTTTTCTAAAATGTAACAACTTGAATGGCATTTATGGAGGGAGCAGCAGGCAGGGGCGTAGCTTTCGAGGGGGACTATGAATTAACGGTGATTATAATCATCTGTGAATAATAAGAATCCAAATCCATTAGTTACCCTTTTGGCAGCCTCTCTTAGATATCCTACACCCCCTGCTCTGTGGCTGTGGCAAACTATCCAGGAAATGCTTATCCTAATGGATGAGCTGCAGTTCTCAGAGCCACTTGATGGGGGAACAGGAGACACACACAAACTCCAAGGTCGAAGCTGGAGCTGACTCTGATTTAGTTTGAAGGTCAACCCCATTAGGGTATCCCTTGGGGTTGGTCAAGTTGAAGGTTGGCTTGGCGCTGGGTTGGTTCCGGTAGGAAACATTAAATAAAGAGGGAAATCGATGGAAAACAGGAAAAACTATGCTTGAGCGTTAGGGTTTCCTCTGGTAAAAGGTTGAAGTTGAAGGAGGTTTCGCTATAAAGAGAATTCTGGGTTGAAGGATGTTATGGGTTGAAGATGAAGTTCAGCTTAAAGAAAAAAAAGGAAGGAACAAGAATATATTGAAGGATGTTATTGGTTCAATGAAATTCCAGGTGGATTAAAATTTTAGTTAAACTAGGAGTCTGAATTAAAGAATTTTGCCTGTGCTCTCGAATACTCGTGAGAGATGAATCTGAGATGAATCAGAATTAAAACTAAAAATTCCTATAAGTGAAAAATGTATGAATTTTTAAAAAGTAAATAAAAAAGAACATATTTCAGAGTTCGATCCTGAGGACAAGCCACCCAAACAATTGTTGATTCACTCACAAAGCCCAACATCGAATTTCGAAATGCGAGAACTTCCCCTGCGCTTGAGTAAGTCCTGCCTGAACCCGGAGTACTCTCAAGTAAACCCCTGATTCGAGTTCGACTTCGAGTCCCCCTCGAAAGTAGAAATTGCTCTGGCTTACGTTACGTTTGACGTAAGTTTCTCTCTCTATCTCTCTAGCTGCGGCTTTGCTCTCTCGCTTCCTGTCGCCTCTCTTGCTGCGCGCCACCCCTCTGCTAGCGCGGCAGAGCAAAGGTAACATCGACCGAGGCAGCCCCGACTTTCCTTTTGGGGTGGCAGCAGGCAGGCTGACGGTGGTGGTTGTGTTTTGGTGGAGTGAGGGTCTGTGGTTGGTGGTTCAATTGGTTGGTTGTTGCCATAAACAAAGCACCCGGGGAGGGTGGGTGACATTTACCATTTGCCGAGCCGCGAGAGCACACGGAGCTCTGCTCTGCAGTGTGCTTCCTATAGGAAACAGCCCGACACCCCAGAGAGAGCGCACAGGGCCGGACCGAGCCGCAGCGTAGCTATTTTATAAATGCGAGTGCCGTCAGGATGTCGACATTCAGTCCACGCTAAACCCCCGACAAGGCAACAGCCCAGCGCATCCGGAAACGAATTTTCCACGAGAAAAGTTTCGTAAAAAGCGCAAAAGTTTTCCCGCCAAATGGGAAATATTTTTTAAATAAGAAATTCCTGAAAAGTGTTTGAACAGAAAAGACTAAATCAAAAACTGACAAAAAGTGCATCAAGTGAAGAGAGAAAAGCTCGAAAAATAATTAAAATAAAAAATATACAGAAATGGCTATTGCATATTTCATACCCGACCAGGCCCAACTGTTGGCCAGAAGCAATCAGCAAAGTGCTCAACAGGCCGCCGCCGCCGCCTCAACAGGAGCCGTGCCCCAGCAGCAACAGCAACAACAGCAGCCAAGACAACCGCAACCACAGACGAGCCAGCAGCAGCAGCAACAACGTCCCCAGTTCCGTGCCAACATATCCGTGCCCCTGGGCCGGCAGCAGGGAGCCATGAGCATGTCCGAGTTTGGTTGCTGGGACCTCCTGGCGCAGATCTTCTGCTACGCCCTCAGAATCTACAGCTACAACTCCAGCCAGCGGCGACCGACGGTCATTCAGATCTCCTTCGAGATAAGAAGCGGCAACCAGGCGCAGGAACAGGCGCCAGATAACCAGGCGGATGCGACTGATGCCAGTGGCAAGGGCAACTAAATGGCTCCCATACGCGCGTGTGGGACAGAACGGGAAAAACTAAAGTGATTTGTCTTTAGTTTTCGATGGCGGCAGGCTCAATCAAAGCGCATTGTGATTTCTTTTTTGAGGATTGGACAGGACACGAAGAGGGAAGAGTTTTGTAAACAAACAAAAATGAAATGGGATATTTCCACAAAATAAGAAAATATTTTTAAACTATTTTTGAGAAGAAAAAAATTAATTAAGAGAGAGAGAAAGAGGAAAATTCAAAATTTGTCATCGACTTGCTGAAAGTGATATTTGATTGTTGGTTACTTTTTTTGTGGTGTCAAATTTTCCGTTTTCAAATTTTTTTTGGGAATTTTAATTTTAAGGCAATGGTTTCCGGGCTTTTGTAGTAGCAAGACGAAGAAGGTTGGTTCAAACAATTCTCAAACAATATAATTATGCATAACCCATTAATCAGTGTCTACAAAAAGGAATATATTGTATACTCGTATAAGGCCCCACACAAATATCGTATTTAACGCATAAAAACTATTGTCAAATTTTTGCATTTCAACTACTTACAATACCATATATAGAGTCCAGATATACCCATACAATATACAGAACCAAACAGCAAATAAAGATGCAAACAACAAAAGGACAACAACTCAATTGTACAAAATAGATTTAAGCAGACTTTAAACAATTTTTATATGTATACAAAACAAATACAAAAATACAGAATAAAAGTAAATGTCAATAAACTATTTGCAAAAGAACCGCCGAGAACAGAACACAGCCAAAAAGCTAAGGAAAACCCAAAATTACATACAAAAAAAACGGAAAACTTTTAAGCAATTTTGATACAATTAACAGAAATGAAGGAAAAAAAACAAAAATATTTTAAAATTATTATTGATTTTAGCGAAATTCAAAATATTATAATTTTCCATTTTTGGCATTGAAAATTACATCATTAATCGAATGTATAAATTAACATTTAAACACAACCACTTTTATATGAAAAAATTAAATTAAATACAATTTTATAAAAAAAAAAAATTGATTTTACTTATTTTAAATGGAGAAAACGTTCTTTTCAGATATTTCGAAAGTCCGGAAATTTTCAGGAACTTTCATGGTTTTCGACACTTTTTAAACCAATATGTGTTTAACTGCAACTATGATGCAGCGAGATTGAAGTCACTCCAAAGTGTTCATGTAGCAGAAAATTTCCTCAAAATTTGATTTATTTAAATGGTTGCGGCATAAAAGAGCTTGAACTAGTGTACTGTTGTTGCCAATTTATCCGATGCTTAAATATTTAATTTGAGGCATGTGGCAAGACTTTGTTGTGAATTGAAAATATTAAAAAAAATTTTCACTGCATCCAACGGCTTCAGTAACTGTTTGATCCAATTTGAAAGAGAAAAGTAGATTTGGACTGAATAAACTTCTGAAAACATCGAAATTACCTACTAGGCGTAAAAAAGGAATTTCTTTTGTAGCAGATTAAAACACCGAGTTTATAACTAAATTCATTGTTTGTATGCTAATTTTAATAGAAATTTATAATATTGAAAATCAGTTAGCATATTCTGCAAATGGGCACAATTTTTTCCATTTTTCCAAGTACGAGCGCCTCGTAATCTTAACCTCATCTTACCCTTTCCTTTGAGGCAGTGACAAAAAGGCTGTGAAAAAACCATTCGTTCATCCATCCAGCGAAGCAAACATTTAGCGATCTTAATCGTGAAAACCAATATGTCACCTTTAAAAGGAAAAACACAGAGCATTTTCCCGTTGTGTCATTGTCATGCCAGGCACACTCCCCAAAGCAAAAGGGTTAAACGGGTTACGCTTAACCGCAGATCTGAGTCTTGGTCGCAAAATACCGCGAGTCATCGGGGTCGTGGTCGTACACCCCCTGAGAGCACCCATTTAACCCCAGCGAACAAAAAAAGTGTAACATCTGTGGAAGGAAACGATCAGCGGCGACAGATACGTTCTCGCCAGTCAAACAATAATTATGCAAACCTTTCGGGCCGCTAATTTGCCGCCTATCTTAATTTAAATCGCGCTCAAAAGCGCAGTGGAACATACACACACAAAAAATTGTTTAATTGTCGTGACATGACAATAAGCGACCCTGGAAATTAGGGTACTTTCCAACAAGGCTCGCTCGGGGGGAACCTCGTCCGTCCCTTTTTTTTTTGCGTGTGGCTTGATTTTTTGGCAACGATAAGCGACGGCTAAATTATAGGGTATGCAAATGCTCTTACTTGGTGTCGGGTCGGTCGCGTGTCCTGGATTGCTTCTGCTGCCCTTTGTTCACGAATTCTTTTTAACGCCTGCACAGAGAGAGAGGGAGAGAGACAGTTTATGATAAAATATTTGTAGTTAATTTTGTTAAATTAGTAGCACATATGTTATGGGAGGGCACAGGTTGTTGCTGCACAGAAGTCCAGAATATTGACCAAAGCAATTACAAAGAGAAAAAAGCCGTAGGAATCAAATATTAAATTCCATATTTAAATTAAATAATTTCCTATTTCTAAATATGGCTGTGTTTCTTTGCCATTTTTTACCGAGTACAAACCATACTTTGCTCAGACTGAGTACACTCAGATATTTACTTTATAATGTAATGAAAAAATACCAAAAAAACTTTAATTTAAAATTAAAAAATGAGATACGAGCATTTTTAACATCTTAGAACACCTTGGAAGCAGAGAGGCTCTCCGAAGAGCAATGGCCAGCAGCTCGGATGATAGCAGCGATGAGATCGAAGAGGACTTGAGTGAAAATCGCCAAATACTGAAATCAATTGACAGCTTTGAAGATCTATACAAAACCTACAGGCCAAAGGTTGCCCAGAAGTTGGACCAAAATAGTGAAAATATCGAACCCATATATACATTAGAGGAGGACAAATCCAAGCGCTTGAGTAGGCATTTGTAAGTGGGAATTGTCTATTGTATTCCATTTTATTATCGAGATCTCTGGACTTGTAGCTCAAATTATCGCATAGCTTCGGGGCAGGGAAGTGGACAACAGCAGGGCACCGTCATGGCTCATCAGACCTATAGCTTCAGTGAATGTAAGACTTTGAAGAAAGAAACCTACCAGATAGCCCCCTAAATTGTATCCCTTTCCAAGCAGATCCCATCTGTAGAAACAGCTCGTGTGCACAGATGGAGAATGACGACATGCCTCAGACCTCAGAGGGCTGCTATTGGACCTCCGATGCTGTAGGCCATAGCCAGGCGCTGCCCGAAAGCGGTTCGCGATCGGAGGACACTATTGTCAACCGTCCAGGTGTGTGCGCAACATCATCAGTCGGAGAGGAGCAGTCGAATACGTCGGCACAGTGCTGTTCCTTGGGTTCATGCTGTTGCTGTCGCATGCCAGAGCAGGGTAATCCGGGACAGGAGCTGCCTTCGTCGGGTCCTATGACCTTCGCGCCCTTTCCATTCATGCCCATGGGCATGCCCATGTACTGCCAAGGAAACGGTGGGCCAGAAACGAATGGGTTGTACGCCATGCCAAATCAAGGGCTAGCGAATGGGTTGTATGCCATGCCAAATGGGGGGCCAGCACCGAATGGAGGGATGTATGCCATGCCAGCTTCTGCTTCAGGAAATGTCGGGATGTATGCCATGCCAGCTTCTACTTCAGCGAATGGAGGCATGTATGCCATGCCAAACGGGGGGCCAGCACCGAATGGAGGGATGTATGCCATGCCAGCTTCTGCTTCAGGAAATGTAGGGATGTATGCCATGCCAGCAGCAGCAGCCGCCATGGGAATGGATCAGGGCTCACAAGGAGAACGTGGTGTGGCAGGCCAGGCGACAAGCATGGCTCAAAGTAATGCTGACGTCAACAACTGCTATCCTGCACAATCGCCGAGTGCCTATTCGGGCATGTCCAATGCTGCTCAGCCATCAGCATCCATGGGCAGCTATCCGGTAATGCCCGGTGCTTACCAACCATCGATGGCTGGACCCAACGCAGATCAGAACTCTCAGGGACCAGATGCTGCTGCCGCCTACGAGTATGTTCAAAAGTATAACCAAAGTATACAGCAGTACTTGGCCACGGCTCAGCAAAACGTTCAGCAGTCATTGGCCCAGGCCCAGCAAGCCACTCCACAGGTGTTCAACAATCTCCAGCAAGGTATTCCAGGAGCTATGGGAGCTCAACCATATTATCCAGGCAATCAAGAAGGTTTCACCAATAGCTCAATGGACCCACAGCAATACTTCCCACAGGCAATGTCGATGTCGATGCCGTCAATGAATCCCACAGCCCTCTTTGGAATGAATGCAGCCAGCAGCAGCAGCAGCGGCAGTGCCTTCTATGCCTCCCAAGGCCTCTCTGCGGGCGGCGTCATCAACGATAGTCTGCAGACCCAAACGGTGTACTCTTCCGACTACAAACCCATTGCTGCACAGGGCAATAATTTCAATCACTTCCCCAATGGCATTGACATTGGCTTGCCCCCCGATTCCTGTCCGGGCTTTTGTACCTCTGGATCTGGAGCTGGACCTAATGCCGGTGTCCCGCCAGAAATGTGCAGTCAGCTGTATGGTATGGGCATGGGCACGGGCATGGGCATGGGAATGGATATGGGGAACAACAACTCCTATCCCCTCAGTCAAATGAAGTGAGATTATATATATTATCTATTATTACATCTATAATATTTACCCGGATCTTTTAGCTATGCAAGTTATCCCTGTGAGATGCCGATGCCTGGCACAACGGCTGCCGGTGGTTATCCTCCGCAATTCATTAATTCCAAATAAATTTGCATTGGAATTTTCTCCACAAATAATATAGGATAATAGAAAATTATATTTTTTCTTTGGAAACAAATACATAGTTAATTTTAAAGACAAATCTGTATGACATGCCGTCGGGGTACCAACAACTTACACAGCAACTATTTCATTTAATATAAGTAATTCAAAATCACTCTAAATTGGAATTTTTTCCACAAATAAAATAGGCTAAAAGAAAATTTTATTTTGTGTCTGTAATTGTGAAGTTAGATATTTTCTGGGTACAACTCGGTGTCACCAAAACCCACTTAAAGCTACATAGCAGATATTTCTGTTTCAAAAAGTTGATCAGATTTAGCCATTCAAAGCCATTTACCCCTCATGAAAACTCTGACAGAACCTGAACTTTGCCTGGCATGCACTTTAAGTCAAAGCTAATTACAGTTAGCCCGAGTAAGAGCTCGAGCCAGAGTCTATTGATTTTAGCAGTAAAGTACACTAGCCCAAGAAAGTATACACAGCTCCCCCGCGCACACAACCAACATTTGCTGACCCACTTTTCCACCTCCACTAGCGGAAAAGGGCCGGACAAACAACGCCTACGAATGCGAAAAAAAAAACCTAGCAAAGTGGGGCACAAAAGTGAAACGCAATATGGCCACAAACGGAGCTGGAGCTACGTTTAAGATACGGATACATATGTACATGTATATCCACATGTGGCTTGTGTCTAGGAAGCGCCAAATCAAATATCAAAGTGACCGACAGCGAGCAAGAGAGCTTCGCTAGCCAGTTAATTGTTTGATGTTTAAGACCGATGCAATGGAAAAGCCTTCTTCAGTTTGTTAAATTGACAATTGACCAGCCAACCATTAAACAGTTGCCCAATGCCTTTCATTAATCTTGTGATTCATAGAGTCCGAGTGGAAAAAGTAAACTAAAATTTAAAAAAAAAAAGAAAGAACGTGTGTCAACACCCACAAAACCGCAGGAGGTTCGGGGGAACGCGATGGAATTTGAAAAAGAAAAAACTATGAGAATTGAAATGATTTATACCCACATGAATACATTTTCAGAGAGAGGCAAACACCTTAAATTAGTGGAAAAGAAGTCATTCCGAGAGGTAACTCCTTCGATTCCAACGGACAGATTGAAGGTGAATATGATTAATGATGCATCGGGAATGATGTTTGACCATCACTGCAACAATTGCGCTTCATTATCGAACAGCGACCAGTGACCAACCATCGAACGGCAGTCAATTACCGGCAGTCGATAGTCTCGTTTCACTCTGCTTTCATTCTTACCTCATGCCCATGCCCATACACAATCCCATTGCTATAGTTATCCCTACCTCGGGTGTTGTTGTCAATGTCCTGCTGCGCTATTATTATATGTCTTGTGTGTGTGTGTGTAAGAGACGAGACTCTGGATGGTATAAATTGCTTTACGCCACTTTTGGGTCATTAACAAAATTGAAAATGCCTGGACATGGGCTGGGAGAAGGCAGACCCATCGACCACCGACGTCCCATTAAATCAGTGCCACCTATTTTTGGTAGTTAGACACCAATCGGTGTGCCTGACTCAATGGGAGACCTTGCGGCCACACGGGTGATATGAATTCGATTTATCAGTTAAAGCTTTAAGTAATGGGGAAAGCGGACCGAAATATTTTCTATATATTAAGACCAAAGAAAAGCAACAAAATTGGAATTGGAGCAAATGGAAAATGGGGAAAAGAACCGAAGACCGATGTAGAATCGTTCTATCTTTAACTAATTTATAGCTTACTAAATTTTAATTGCGTTCCATAACCCTTTTCCAAGCAAACAACCCAATCCGCCAGAGATATGAATGAGAGATAAAGAGAGGAAGAAGCCACGAGAATGGCTCACTTCTCAAGGACTCAAGGACTTCAAGTAGGTAGCAGACAATTGTCCAGGAGGCAAGACAATAAAGAAAGGAGAGCAAAAAGGGATCACAGTTTATGCGATTGCCTTTCACATCGGAAGGAAGGACGGAAGGTCGCACGGAGAGAAATCAAAGCGTTACAAATTGGCCGGGCAGAAGACCCGTAATACTTTCACTGGGAGGGATAAACGGACACGGATTAGAGGGCAGGCCACGGGCACGTGACTTCCCAGGAAAATAGAGAGCAGGCATGCAGGCAGTCAGGCAGACCTTTGTTTTGTATCGAAAGCCGATTAAGGCTAGGGTCGGGCCCGAAGGCGATTTACACTTCATTATTATGAATTATGACCCCAGAGTGACGTCGGGCGACAATGAATGGTCGGACTGGTCAGGCTGCTGGTCGACAGACTGGTCATCGCTTAATTATGTCACTCATTTTGGGTGAAAGTTATTAATTTATCTTTCTCCCCGCACCGATCCCATGCAAATTGATTTGTCGCCACTCGCACTCGTCTCCCATATCGATATCGTTCGACATCTGAAGGCTGTGACAAATTCTGGACACGCGCCGCAAACAGATCAAAGTGAGGAAAATGCTGAGTGGAGGGCTGTTTGGTCTCATCCCATATCCCTATGCAAATCGAAGGAAAAAAATTCAATAAATGGGCTTGGACAGAGGTCAATGGTTGCTGCTTAGTTAAATGTCCAATGGCTGTCCCCTGTCCTGTCTAAGTGTCCGCTTAGCCTGGGAACATTTATCCCCGCATCTGATTCAAATTCCCCTCGCCGCGGAAAACTTTCACTGAATGTCCAACAGCTATACAATAAAAAATGGGAAGTTACGAAAAATATGCCTTTTTTTTCTATGGCAGAACTTTTTTTTAAACAATTTTTGAAAACTGGTATTATTTTTTTAAAGCTTTTTTTTTAAAGCTTTTTACAGAGGTAGCGCTTGTTTTTTTCACATAACTCTAGTATCTTACGTCTGGTTGTAAAGAACTTTGCTATTTTGAAAAGATAATTAAAACAGCTAGAAGTTACACCTAAACACTTTGTGATTACAGCTTACCGTCTGGCAAATATAAAGCATTGAAATGCAAAAATGATGATTTTTGTGCGGTATTTTTTACGAAATTTTGACCTTAAAAACTCAGGAAAAGTCGAAAAAAAATGATATCATGTGTCCTCTATTTTTTTGTGTATAGGTGCATTAATTTGGCTTCGTTCCAGGTATCGCTCATTAAAATCTATGGAGAGACTAAAATTCGTTAACCAAACCTAAAATATGGAAAAAATGAACAGACTTCAAAAATTTTTCAAAAAAAAGTTCTGCCATAAAAAAAAACCATAATTCTTTAAAAAATTGTAAATCTCCATATCTATCAGAAAAAGTCGGTTTGGATCCTTGAGGAAAAAAAAGTTAGATCTTGTCGAGTAGTGTTATCAAAACTCATTTATTGCCACCTTAGGGGAAAATGGGTGTAACAACGAGAGACGTTTGCAATTATGCGGAGTAAGCGACCACTTCATGCGTGATTTGGTGAGTGTGTGGATTTTAGTTATATGTTTTTTGCCTTAATTGAAAACATTTTCATTGCAGATGAATAAATACCCAAACTCCGAAGTGTGGAATTTAATTCGATTTTAAATTTAGTAGCTATATTTTAAGAATTATAAAATAGTTTTAAGATAATTCGAGCAAACAGGAGTTGAGCTCCGAAAAAATTTTGGAACTCGGTAAACACTCGCATCCCACTTTAGAAAGTGATATAATATCACACATAATATGATCTTTCTCACGGAGTTTAAAATAAATTGTAGATGCCCTTCCACTACATAAATTCCCTTAAATACATGCGAACCCTTTTGCTAAGTGGCAAAAATCAAGGGGACCATCGTTGGGCGTTACAAATGACGACGACAAATTACACACACCAACTGCTGCTGTCTTCGTGTCGGGTATTTACAAGAAATTTGCAAACAATATTGATTTCGGAGCTATCAAAATAAAAATTAATCAATGCACTTAAAAGTGAAAAACAAAATAAAGAAGCAAACTCAATGGCGCGGAAAGGGGTAGCGTGGTGCGGGTAGGCAAACGAAAAGAAACCCTTTAAAAAAAAAAACCCTCCCTCTCCAGGACTTTAAAGTACTCGGAAAGAACTTCACTAATTTATAACTTATGACCTTTACCCATGGACAATTTTCCATGCCACTACAATGCAGAGCAAAAAGCCAAAATTTGACATGAGTGGCGGTCGATTGCATAAACCATAATCATGTATGTGTAACCCCTTCTTCAAATTCCCTACACGGCAACAAAAAACGAAGCTAAGTAGTACACCAAAATAAACCCTTTAGCCGGGACATGAGACCCTGGGAGTGTGTGTGTATGGTGTGTGCACCCTCTTCGCACACATGTCAGCAAGCGAATTAATCGAAGAGAAGTGATTTATTTAGCGCTCGGACAGACGCAAACGCTTCAGTGACCCAGAGAGAAAAGGGTTAGGTTAGGGCTATTCCTCTCCGTTTCCCCGCTTTCAATTCGCACCCAAATCAAATTTAAACTGTTTTCAAAACTGCACCGGTGTGGTACCACCTCTTTCACTCTCATGCCATTCATGGGCAACCAGAGGGTTGGTCCCCCTCTCTGCAATCTTTTTTGGGTTAATTTTGGTTTTTTACTGTGTGAAATTTTGTTGCCTATTGCACTTTTTTCTCCTTAAATTCACACTGCATTTTATTTATTTCCACAGGGAGGGGAAATTTGACTGACTGTTGTTGTGAGCGGCTCCTTTCAAAATATTTATGACTTTGCTCTTTATGGGTTTCCTTCGATGTTCTTTCATTTCGAGATTTGATTGATTCTAGTGGGGATGTTGTGATGCATTCAATTTGCAGTAAATTTGCAGCAATTAATAAAATCCAAAATCGTCAGAAACCATAAAAAAAACGGATATAAAATTCTGTTCTTTTTTTTTTTTTGTGGGAACTTTCCCAAGGAACAGCTGCAATGCATGGGAGGAAAACGAAGCTACTAATTATCTTTATTGAAAGAAGACTACATGAAATCTGCAATAGAATATTTGTAAAACTCTAAAGATGCAAGCTAATAATTGGTAGGACCCTATTGCCACAAATGCGGTACAGGAATACCCACAACACGCTAAGGTAACAACAAATCCATCTTTCGATAGGTTTTTCACATACATTGAATGTAGATTATCCAGAATGTGAAATATCCGCAAAAAACCTTTTAGAAAACGTTTTGTCTGGGACTCATCGAAGCTGTTCTTTTGTCAAACAACTGGTAAGTTATGTGTATATCAAGTATTAATAGAAATCTAAACGAAGCCAAGTAAATTACTATAGGAAAACTTCATATCTTTGTGTTAAAAAAGATGGGCGCCGTTCAAAAGATATTGGATGTGCCACTGGACAATCTCCTGTTGATATTCAAACACCTTGAAGGGGAAACAGAGGATCAACTATCGTTGGCCCACACCCATCCAATATTTTATAAAGCATTTGGCCTTTACGCTTCCAAGAGATTTAAATCGGTTAATTTCGATGAATTTCCCATTGCGTACTGGTCGGCTATGCTAAATCTATGCGGTGCGAGTGTTGTTTGCATTTCAACTAAACTTGTTGCGAATGCTGTGGCTATGGCCACGCTGATTGACGAATTTTGTCCCAATGTGAGCGAATTATTTATGCCGATACGTGCCCGTTATTGGCACGTTGTCAAGCCCTTCATTAAGAGAATGCGTAAACTGTATCTGCTTCGATTTGAGAACAACTACAGTTCGATTAGCGTGATCAGAACGTTGCGGCATTTGCCGCAGCTCAGGATTCTGTCTTTGCATGGATTTAGAGTTTGCAATGGTGAGTGCTTGGCGTCCCCCTCCCTTGGATCATCATCAACGCTTTTATTATTATTATCTGCTTCTTTTTTTTTTTTAGTGATGAGAATCAAAGAGTTGCTGCTGCTGGAAAAACTTGAAGTAGTGACCAGAGTTCCCATTAATTTAAATGAATTGTGCTTTGCCATGTCCAATTTGGAAATATTGCAAGCAGAGATGGCTTTAATCAATTTTCCAAACTATTATCCTCGATGGCCCTGCCTGAGGACTCTGAGCATTGGTTGGGGTCGTTTCGCAACCGAACTGCCGTATATGCCAAATCTGCAAATATTAAGCATTAGCGTTACCCACACTAATTTGCGACTCTCTCAGATATTTGGCAGATCGGTCTTGCAATACGCCAACACCTTGCAGACACTTCGTTTGCCCCAAAATCAGTGTTATTATCCGAACGACATCCAGATCATCGCCCAACTAAAGTCACTGAAAACTCTGCAATGCTACTTCATCGATAATCGTTCCTTGAGCTCCATTCATTTGGATGAGCTCCAGACGCTGTTTATTCCGAATTCCCCCGCTATACGGAATTCTGGGGTCCTTGGGGTTCTTCGTGGCTGCAAAAGTCTACGACGATTGGACATCTTTGATTGTCCACTACTTAGCCCAGACTTGGTAGGACCAGCAATTAAGGTGCTGAAGGAGAATGGCGTTCAGCCGGATAATCCATTGGTTATGACAGTTAGTTCTTTATTCGGAGATGATATCATACAAGTAAGTGAAGATTTCGCTCATTTTATGTACATATTTATGAATATACGCGTACATATATTCCATTTACAGCTGACTCGCTCGGATCCGACCAATCAAGTGCTGCTCTTGACGACACGTTCAGTGTGCATTCATGACTGAAAATGGGTAAATGAATTACATATCTGAATCAAAAATAGTAAGCAAAGCTAAAACTTTAAATATTTTTCTTTATTTAAGTAGAGCACTAATTTTAGCAAAAGTCCATAAAAGATTAGAGTGAATCTGAATTGAATATAAATAGAAAATCAAAGGAATTTACTAATATATATATTTTTTATTAGATTAATGTATAATACAGCGAAATGGCAGATTGAATATGATTTTTTTTTATTTGTAAAAATTATGTTTGCTTTATAAAAATAATAAACTACAAATACTCAAAGAAAATGAATAATAATTAAAAATTTGTATATTTATTTTTGTAGAATATCGGACATCATAAACTGTTATTTAGTCTTCTCAACTAGAGATACTCCGAAAAAAATTAATATTTCATTCCCCTTACTAATCAAATATTTTCTCTAAAGCCGGGCGCATGTTTATGAACCTTTACTAAACGGTCTAACACATTTGTAACCCTTTAGGTGTGACCCCGAACTCCGAATTTGCGGCCTTATCTGCCTGCCACTACCTGAACTAATAGGCGTGCAGCGTGCAATGTGCTGCATGCCACCGAATTTCCAAAGAGAAATTGCATTTGGCGAAACTCAATTGGGTGGAACTAATTTTTTTGAACGACTCTTTGGATGTATCCGATCGAGCAGTGTTTGCTGAATGCGTTGGCGTAGATTTTCCTTTCGATTTTGACATATTTATTTGGACGACCCTTTTGCAGAGGCGCAACCAATTGTTTGCTCTTGGGTTGATAGATTTTTGTGGTGTTTACGTGCACTCGAAAATCTGTATAACATATCCCTGATCCCTGACCAAAGGCCACTCTTTAAATGAGTCCTAATGACATCCGTTGCGAGATAGGCAGGCCAGGCCAGGCAGTAGTACGAGTAGCAGTCCATTTATTGTTTTTCGTTTCCTAATCGGGGCGGCACATTGTTTGGACGACAGGATGTGTGTGTGTGTGTGTGGTTAAGGGTTGGACAAGTCAGTGTCCCTTCCGCCACGATGCGATCAAAATTTACGATAAATGCTTTAAAAATTCTATACACCTCACAATGGAACAAAGAAGTTTTTCATTTTGCTGTTAAGTGAGCATAGCCAACCGAATTTGTTAGAGATCATAAATTGTCCAACATGAAAATAGATTAGATGACATCATATCATGTGTGAGTCTGAGTGCGAGTGCGAATGCTCTTTGTTGTCCAGATACAACCACATGTGAAGGAGTTGGATATGTTGGATGTGTCTGCCCTGTGGGGGTAGATTTCTTAAGGGAATAACTGCACCTGCTTCGTAATGAGGTGGTGGGGGCGACAAAATCTCTGCCGCAAATTTGTAAGCAATTATTTGTATAGGAAAAAGTTGACTCTTCCCCCCAAAACAAACACACGAAAAAAAAAACCAAATCATCAATCTCTGTCTGCTACTGTTACTCATAAAAGCGCATGCATTTAAATTAGACATTTAAGCCAACACTCTTCCCACATTTCAGTAGGCAGAGAAAGAGAGAGAAGTGTCAGTAGCAGAACTCCCTGTCCGGAAAACGCTTAATAGGATTTTTACAATTTTTACTATTTTCCTTGCGGCAGTCGGCACAGTCGCTACCGGTTACCAGTCGTTGCTTCTTTTCTCTCCTTTCTGCACTCTGTATTTTTTTAATTTCCCAATATTTTGCCTTTCACCCGGCACATAAAAAAGGGGTTAGAAAAATGCCAGCACCGCACCCCTGTGTGTCGCACTGGAAATTCTTTTACACTTTTGTCTTTCATTTTTGTTTTTTTTTTTTAGCATTCGCTTTCGTCGCTGTTGTTACACACAACACACACAGGATATGGTTATTCCTGTTCCTGTTGTTAGGGTTTCATGCACCGCATAACATTAAAATTCAGATTTTGATTGATCATCCCGAAGGATGTGAGCTGAGGGTATGGGTTTTATACTCGTACCAAGTGTGGAGGAACGCTATGAAGCGAAGGCATTTCCATTTGTGGAACGGGAAGGAATATTTTGATGCTGGTTTTGAATTTGTTTAAAGCTTGTCCCGACAATGTTTTAAATTGGTTAATGCTAAATTTTCAAATCGGAAAGAGAATTAGCCTAGCAAGAAATTCGAGGGTTTAGCGGAAGAAAATAACAAATGTATTACATTTTTATTTATTTTCAAGTCGAAAACATCGGGCAATTTTATTAGTTAATTCGTCTAAAGTTTTGTACATTAATTTCTGTTTTATCTGATATTTTTAATATATTTCTGACTGACACATAGACGTTTTAATGATTTGCAGGGCAGTTTTAATCATTATTTGGTAGATTACAAACTTTTCTTGACGGTTAGATATCCCTCTATTCTCTACCATAGTTTCTTGGCAACACAACCTACATATACAAAACATTCATTTACATAAAACATTAAACACGAATGCACAATTGTGGAAAATCAGTCATGGGTAAAGACACCAACACCAACCAAATCCTTTACTAAATCAATCGAAATCCTTTTAAAGTATTTCTATATGCAAATATTTCTGCCTTAGAAGACGCGTCACGCTAACTAAACTTTCCCAGGAAAATTTACAAACAAACGCTTTCGACTTTCAGCGAAACCACTTAAATATGCATGCAATGGCAATGTAAGGGAGAAGGGGCAGCCAGAATTCGATTAGCAACAAATGCATATTGATGGAATAATTGAGCAATTCTAATGAACCACAACACCAGCAGGGAAGGAGACCCGAAAAAAAGGCCAACAAATTGCATTGGATTTGGATTGGATTGATGGAACGTTTTCTTTTTTTTTCTGTTTCCAAGGAACTACAATATTTGCATGTGATTGACAACAGGGTTAATTGAGTGTGAGTGTCTCGGGCACATGGGCATTTGCATAGAGTCGGTAGAAAACAAACATTTATTATAATAGTAATTCTGTAACTATGATTTCTGGTAACCCTTTTTGGGTGGCGTTTGGGGGGTACTACAATACATCCATTAATTCTACTGACAGGGTGAGAGTTGAGCTGAGGTGACTGATGATGGGGTGTTGAGTCAAGGTGAGAGATCTCCTCCACCCCAGGCCCAAAATGTCATTTCAATGAATATATAATTGGAAATTATGTGATTTTTTTTTATAGATTGTGTGTGGCGTTTTGTTTTTTAAATTTTCTTTTCTAGAAAATTTACATATTTTTTCGCTCTCTTTGGCAGATCCTCCGATTTAATTAATGGTGTTTCGTGATATTTTGCATACATGTGCTGGCTGGATCATTAATCAGGCCTTCTAAGTAGGCTGCTTGAACTCATTAACCCTTTTGTTCGCGCCGCATCCCCCCGACAGAAGTTTTGTGTCTTATATAAATATTTGCATTGCTGCCAATCCATGAGAACAGTGAGAAAGAGATCTGCTTGCTGCATTGCAACGCAATAAATGAAAATACAAAAAAAAAAACATAAAAGAGAAAGCACAAAGAACAGATACATATCCTTATTAATGATCCTGCTGAAACCTTTTCCGCAGTTTTAATTAGTGGAAACTCCGAACCTTCCATCTTTCGACCCGCTGGGAAAAACTCTCTCTGGGCCATATATCAAATATTATATTTTCTTTGGCCTCCTATCAAGATGCCCATTAAGGCCAATAAGTGGCCTCTCATATTATGCCATATTTTGGAAATTGCTAAAAAAAAAAAAAAAAAAGAATATCCAAGCGAAAACAAAGTTTTGTGGAAAAGTGCCAGCCGATAAACACGAATAAAACATTTGAGGTACATTATGTCAGGCGGTAAGAATTATTGGTTTCAGATTGTTTTCCCCAGATAAACCCCTGAATTATGGGGCCAAACGCAGCGGGCAATAAAAAACAATACGCGACAGATGAATGCTACCAAAAAAATATCTTTATCTGGGGGTTGCAAATCAAAAGGAAATTTCTGGCACATTTCGTATAATAAAAGATTATTTTGCAGGAATATCTCAAATCTCAAATAAATTTAATATGGATCCGTTTCCTACTGTATCCCTCTCGAGGTCACCAAAGATGCGAAATCTTCTCAACTTTAACCCTATAATCGGGGTCACCAGTCATGCAAAGATTTCTCCAAAGCCTTTCCTTTTGCAGTTCCTGTGTTTCCACTTTTATACTTACTTTACTATTCGATAGTTACCTGCAAGTAAAAGATATTTAATATAACTATTAGGTTATTGGAATTATTATTTACATTTTAATTTAAATTAAACTTCCTTGTTTCTCTTTAAAAAAAAATGAAATTCTGCTCATCTTTAATTCATAATTCAAGAAGAGAAAATATAATTTTTACAGTTCAAATAACAACAATAAGGTAAAAATTGAAGTGTAATCCCCTCCTTAGAGACTTATGCGGGTAGATAAACAGCTGGGTTAAACTTAACCCCATCGCAGAGAACAAAAGTCACGCGAATAAAAAACACAGAAATCGTATAATTAATTGCTTCGTAATTCGGTTGTGTGCCTAAACATCATTAATATCTATAAGATTTGACGAGCCACAGAGCTACCAGAGATCTTATAACCCACCACTTTTGACTTGTGGAACCCGCATCAAGCCTCAAGCTGGTTCGCAGCCAATTTCAATTAAACGCGCGGATTAAAACACTGAAATTGGTACTAAGACGACTTTTGGCACTTTGTCGTCACTCCGACAAATTGGGATATATGTACTATAGTACATGGTGTATGCATGAATCATTAATAAAAATCATAATAGAGGCGTGGCGAATGACGTCACGTTTTTGTGATTAGCAGACAGAGCGAGAGTCAAAAGGATTGTTGTGGGTTGCCCCTGATAAAAATGTTTCTAATTAGTTTTTTTCTCCCACTTCCTTGCCAACATCTAATGCATTTTGATGATCTGACAGTGAAGCGTCGTCTTATGCTTCAGTGCGTTTCGGCGTTCCGTTCTGGGAGTCGCAGAACCGAAGGAAGTGTGGCTAATTTGATTAATTGATTGGGAGCTACTGCCAGCCAGCTACTGTACTGTACTGTGTGTGTATCATATTAATAAAATGTTGGACAAAAAGTATTTGTCATAAGCAAAGGAAGCTCGAATAAAAATGTTTTTAATAACTGAAGGATGAATTTTACGCGATTAAAAGAAGTTCACTTTTCTCCACAAAAGCCCAAGAGATGTTCCTCTGACCAAAAGAGCAACCTTAAGC